TGGTGAGAAACTGATTTCAGACTGCTTATCAATCTTTTTTAGAGGATCTCTTTTTCCACTGAAAGCTTGTGGGATCTCTTCTTTCTTCGTCATGTTGAAAGTCACAATGATAGTTCTAGCTGTTACTAAAATCATTTCATCAGTTTTGCTAAGGACAGCCTAATCCCTAGAATCTGTGAACATGTTACCTTGCATGGCAAAAGGAGCGTTGTAGATGTGAGTTGAAGATCTTCAGATGGAGAGATTAGCCAGATGGGTCCAATGAAATCACAGGTGTTCTTATAAGGGAAGGAGGGAGGCTGGAGAGTCAGAATCAAAGAAGGAGCTGGGACTGGGAAGCAGAAGTGAGAGAGAGGGGTCAGATGGAAGACGCCATGCTGCTGGCTTTCAAAGTGGAGGAAGGAGCCACAAGTGAGGGAATGCAGACAGCCTCTAGAAGCTGAAAAACCCAAGGAAACCGATCCTCCTCTAGAACCTCCAGAAGGAACCTGCCTACCCCTTGAGTGTAGCCCAAGAAGATCCATTTTAAACTTCTGACCTCCAGACCTGTAAGGTAATAAATTTATGTTGTTTTAAGCCACTGAGTTTGTGGCAATTTGTTATAGCAATAATATGAAACCAATACAGATTTCTGAGAGATTTACTCATCTTTGTCATCCAGCCCTTCAATTGAATGCTTTATTTCAGATATCATATTTCATTTTCAAGACCTATTATTCCTTGATTGTTTCTCTTCTATAGGATCCAATTCTTACTTTATGGACATGTATCTTCTTTCAGATAGAGTATCTCAAAGTGAATCTGAAATATCTTTTATTTTCGAAATTTCTTTTTTTCTGAAAATTTTTGAAATATCTTCTAATTTTTTTTCTTCCTCTGCTACTGATTTTTCTGGGTTTTTATTATTGTTGTTGATTTTTAATCTTGGACTTTCTACATCATGGTGCTTGCTTTTCTCAAATGTCTGTTGAACTGCTATTCTCCATTCATCCTGAAGAAACAGGCAATTGAAAGGCCTATTAGAAGCCTAACACCCTCTGAGTGTCAGCAAGGGGCTTGTTTGACCAGGAGGGTCCCTTCATAGCCATTATGTTAGGGGCATCCTAAATGCCAAAATGAGCAGAGTTTTATTCTGGAGTCCAAGACCCACGGTGGCTACCCAGTTCTTCCCAGAGAGTTTGCTGTTTAGTGCCAGATGCTGTGCTAGATGCTTGGGATATAATAGCAAAAATAGATGTGTTTCCTGTCCTCACAGAATTAACAGTCATGTGATCATACAAGAAAATGTAAAATTATGCCCAGGGTTAGTACTCTGAATGATTGGGACATTAGTCTATGCGAGTGAATGGGGGCTTGCTGACCAAGTCTGAGGAATAGGCGAAGGTTTCTGTAAGGAACTGACTTAGGAATGGCTTAACTTTCAATACATGCCAGTGTCTATTTTATAAACATGGATGTATAATATTATTGCATATATGGATTTCCTAAAACATACACCACGTGAGAAATGGTAGAGTAGGAGTGAAAAGTATTCAGCCTAAGTGTCGGGAGACCTGGGAGTCCCGGAGTCTTTAAGTTTCAGCTTTGCCAACGGATGGCTCTCTGGCCTTGGACAATTCGACTTTACTTCCCCGGCGCAGGAGTCCTTTTATCTGTAAAATGAAGGGGTTGGATGAAATGATCTGTTGGGTCATCTTCTGATCTAAAAGTCTCTCAAAATATGTACATTTCATTAAGAGTTTTGTCTCCCTTAAGTGTCTTGACTTAAGAAGTAATTCTGCTCAGGTCATGTACATATACTTTGCAATTCTAAGGATCATTTGTTGAAGAAATGTCTTTTGAGTGCGTATTATCTAACTGCATGAGCATGTAGAGAGAGACAAGAGAATGACTAAGCACATGTGAGTAAGATGAGCCATAAATTAAGTGAAAGTAGAAATATATCTCTATGTCGGCAAATACATATTTTCTTTCTCGAAGATGTGTTGACCGAACAGGGTTTCAATCAACAATTATTTTTTGAGCATTAATTAAGTATTCCTTTGGGACTTTGGCTCCTGGCCTCACTTTAAATTGTAAAAGTTTCTAAACTATTAACATACAATAGTGTTGACTGCTCTTGAAGTATTATTCACGAAACTAGATTGAAGCCTGTGTCTATGTGCATGTGTGCATGTGTATGGAGTTTATTTATTGGCAACAAAAGCCCTCCTTGGCAGAAACACAAGATCTATTTTCAAAGTCCATAAAAACATCCTTAGAAATGGACTGAGTGATTTGGCAAATTGAAAGAGAATACTTCTACGTGATCAATAAGCCAAAATAGATTTTAGAATTAGGCTAGTTCTGTTTCTTGAAGTGTGTGTGATCTTTAATCCTCTAGTTGTTTGTGCTTATTCTTATACCTGATCAGAAATGTTTATGGTTTAGAAACAATGATATCCCTAAGTGAATCAACTGCCCATACATTTTTAAAATAAAGATACACACTTCCATCTTTGAAATTAATTTCAAAGTATGCCTGATTGTGTCCCTACTTTTAATTCGTACTTTGGAGTAAACCTTCTATCCTTCAGGAGCTTCGAGTTGGTGACCCATCGGGTCCTCAAATTTAAGAGAGTTTATTTCACCAGAGGAGCAGTCCCTCTACTCACAGTCAGAGTGAGAACTCAGGTGCAGTGTAGCTAAACTCGCAGAAGTACTTTGCTGTACTATGACTTTTATGGGTGGTGTTGAGGCAGTGAGAAAGGAGACATGATGACAAGGATGGGGGAGAGCCCTCACTCGAGTCCTTGAAAAAGACTATGGCTTTCACCAGCTCATTCTTTCCTTCCTGAAAACAGTGGTTCCGCCAAGTCAATCCCTTTTGATCTCCGAGGGCCTTTGAAATAGGAACATAATTACACATAAGGTTTTGGGTGGCACATGGAAATACTTAGGCAGCATCATCTTTGGAAAAGATGGTGATTTCTCTACAGATTTCAATTCAAAAGCCAAATTCCTTTCCTGGAAGATGGTTTGCGTTTTTCCCATTTTCTCCCTTGAACTTCGAGTTTCTGTTGCTAACCACCATCGGTCGTCCGTCCAGAGTGTGCAAGAGATGACAACCAATGCACAAATAAATATACGTGAATTGCTAACAGGTGTCTCTAGACATTATAGTGACTTTTCAGGATTCATCTAAGAACTAGGTCATAGGCAAATATGTTAGACACACATAACCTTGATCAGCTGTGGCTCTATCTAAATAGTCAAAATGCAGCTGTGGAGGGATTAGGAAAAGCTGACCAAATCCTTCCTTAAAAATGGCATTAAAATGCAACCCAGAAGAGATAAAATGAATGGAGACATTTATGTATTTCCTGAACCTACAAAGTCTGTGCCAATAGCTCAGATCTGCATTTTAGTATTATACTTATGTATTTACAAATATGGAATTTTTAGCCATTTAGAAATAATACTGTAGACAAGTACTGGCATGGGAAGAAGTTTGTGGTAGACTGTTAATTTAAACATCAGGTTTCAAAAGTGTGTACAGAATGGTCTTCTTGTAGTATATAAATGTGTATATTTATAACAAGAAGAGGGCTGAATTGATACCCAGATATTGTTAACAGTGATGACCCCTAAATGGTGGGATCATGGGTGTTTTACTCTTTTTGCTGATCTGTGTCTTCCAACTTTTCTTCCATAAGATCACATTGCTTTTCTAAGAAAAAAACAATTAATGTCATTTAAACATACTGTATAACAAAAAGTGTTAAGATCATTTGACAGCACCTGAGCCACTGATAACCTGCAGTGATCGCATAAAACAGGGATGAAAAACAAAGAAATGGCAATATAAATGATTCCTTTCATTCTGACACCCAATTCCAACGTGTGGGTTTTTTCCCTACCACAAAGCAATTCTCCAGCACCGCTGGGTGTTCTACAACTCAATTCAATTCAATTCTGACACTATCTACGAGGAGATCACCTCAGATCCCATGGGGTCAGGGTTCAGTCCTATGACATCTCGCACCCCCCAACACACACACACACTTCAGATGCCAAATGCCAAGTCCAGGTTGTCATCTGTGCTTCTGACCCACCGGCTATAGATCAGAGGTTCCCACGACCCCTCCTTGGGCTCGGTAATTTGCTAGAGCAGCTCCCAGCACTCAGAGAACCATTTCACTTACTAGATCACTGGTTTATTACAAAAGGATATAACTTAGGACCAGATGGAAAGCTGCATAGGGCAAGGTGTGGGGGAAAGGCCAGAGCTTATAAGCTCTGTGAACAAGCCTTTCTCCCAGCACCTGCACATGTTCCACAATAGAGAAACTCCAAATCCCATCTTTTGGGGGGTTTTATGGAGGTTTCATTATATAGACATGATTGATTTAGATCATAGGCCATTGGCAATTGATTCAACAACCTCCGGCTCCTCTCCCATCTCCAAGGTCAGTGGGATGGAACAGGAATTTTCAACCCTCTTAGCAACTGATCAATTCCCCTGGCAGCCAGCTCCCAGCCTTAGGTACTTTCCATAAGTCACCTCATTAACATAAACTCAGGTGAGGTTGAAAGGGGTTTGTTAAGCATATCAACACACTTTCATTGCTCTCATCATTTAGAAAATGCCAAGGGTTTGGGGAGCCCTGTGCCGGAAATGGGGATGAAGACCACATGTGTGTTTCTTATTATAAATCCCAATATCACAATTCTGTAGGGCTGGCCTTTCCCAAAGTGTGCTTCCCGGACCACACGTCCCACAAAATGCTACGTGAAAAATTAAAAAAAAAAGAGGTCTATACCTGATACTTGGAATGTTTTGTTTCAACCTCAGAGATGATGGTAAATGGAATCCTACTCCACTTTGATTTCATTTGGCTCTAAAAAGTGTTTTTTCTAGTTTGGGAAAAGCATTTGGATTGCTTTCTTTTATTTTATTTTTGGAGAATATGACATACAAGGATGTCCCATACTGTCTTGGATTTCCCGATGAATGAAAAAAATCAAGTGTTAAAATCAAACTTGTTGATTAAAAGATTTACACCATAGTTTGGTCTTAAGAAGTCCTGATAGTGACAACACTTAAAACGAGAAAATTTACACTCTGGCGTGATAACCTGAGGCTATTAAAAAAAATAGAATATATCTTTGAAATGTGCCACTTGAAAACACTACTTATTAAAAAAAATTGCCATTATCCGTGTCATGAGGAAATGCTTCCATCTCATCCCCGATTTCAAAAGCTTGTCTAAACACTTTCACCTTGATAAACAGTTTACTTCTGTGTGGAAAAGAAGGCTTGTACTGACTGCCAGTTTCTTCACAAAGCAGGCTTCAAAGGTAAATACTCAATGACCACAGTTTGAACACATTAACCGTGTTCACCAACTATGTCCTGAGATGAAGCAGTAGGTAAAGGGACAATTTCTCCAACAGGCAAACACTTCCTTGTTGAAAACATGGCTGGTACCGTGGGTGTCTTTCCAGCCTGCATCGTGGCTTACAAAATAATTGCCAACTACGTGAGACATCTCCTCTAGCACGATGGCGGAGCGCTAAACTCACCAGTGAGTCCATGAGCACCTCCCTTCTCTACATTTCTGCACATTTCTGCCAAGTGTTGATTGATACTCTGCACATCTGTGATTCTTTCCAAATGTAAGCCAAATGTCTGGTAGCGGGCACTCATGATAGACATTGCCCTTCTGTGCTATATGCCATGAATATTACATGATGTACAACGGCACTCTTTGATTATGAAATTCCCAGTAGCTAATTTAAGTTTTTTCCCAGGCATGGTAATTATCATTAGCCTTACAGCTGGATTTATAAACCTTTTAGCAACAGTGTGACTTCCTTATTTGTTGTTGTTGGTGGTGGTGGTTTTGGTTTTCGGTTTACAATTTCGAATAATGTTTCTTTAGGTTGGGTCTCTTCACCTTTAAATGACAAAATTTATCAATTTCATATTAGAAAGCATTATTTTGTGCTTGTTCAGGAAAAACTCAATTGGTTTATCAGAAAGGTCACGGTACTTTGAAAGCAATGCAAAAGCTTCTGTGGCTTCTTGCCATTCCTTAACAAAGTTTTGTAAGAGACAATGCAATAGAAACTAGAGGCAAATTGATTGCTGGTCTGGTGAAATCCAATTTTCACATATTCATCAAGATTCCCTTGTTCTAGCACACATGGTTTCACGTTCGATATTTGCATTGGACTCTTGTTCACCGTTTACAGGGCTCTGTTATGTTGACGTTATCATTGCAACACAACTCTTAACACTTAACTACCTGCCTGTAAGTACCTGATTTATTTCTGTGAATTGGCCATCATAACATGCAATAAAACACGTAAAATTAACGGATGTAAATAGCACTTCAATGTATAAAATGCAGCGGTCAAGGCAAAGGGCACCATGAATGGAATAGTAGCTGGGATGAACAACTTTCAGGAACATAATGATTATTAAGTATGCAACTAGATTTCCAGAAAATATAATAAATTAATCTTAACTTTCAAATTTACAAAATGAACATGAAATTGTTTCCTTGCTCTTTCCTTCTTATAGATAGCGGGGGGAACACCAATGATCCATGGTTTGCCTGTGAGCAGCACTTCTCTGTGGGGTGGCTACTTGGCAAAATAGCTCATCATCCAACTAGCCTGATATCCAAAATCCCCAAGTCATTTGTTATTCCTCCTACAATGTCAAGATAGATCAAATGATTTTTTTTTTAAGATTTCATTTACTTATTTTTGAGAGAGAGCAGGAGTTGGGGGGGGCGGACAGAGGGAGAAGCAGACTCTGCGCTGAGCAGGGAGCCCTATGCAGGACTCGAACCCAGGACCCTGGGATCACGACCTGAGCCGAAGGCAGATGCTTAACTGACTGAGCCACCCAGGCACCCAGATCAAGTGATTTTTATTAAATATCATGAAGCCCATAGCATGAAGATAGGCTATAGGCATGGACTATATATATAAAACAGACAGTCTTTACCTTCCAGATCTTATGATTCAGATCTTAAATAAATAAGCACAAATAAATTGCAAGCTACCAACTGTGGTAAGTGCTGAAGGAAAAAAAAAGAGAGAGACTAAGAAAGTGGTGGGTGGGGATGGAAAGGTCTAATTTAAACTGATGGGTCATAGGCAAGTGCTATGTGAGTTATTTCCTTTGAGATCCTCAAAGACGAATAATCCATGGGTACTTAGGACATGTTCTTTTTTCTAATAACATTTGTGTAATGTAGAAGTAACTAAAGACAGCGTTTGTTCCTTTGTTCTATTACTATTATTATTAGTGTTTACGTTATGGACACTGTTCTAGACTCTGGAGGTATACTTGTGAATGAGACAGACAAGAGTTCTGTTCTCATGCAGCTTCTGTTCAGTGTTGAGATGCTTCTCAGAATATGAAAAGAGAAAAATATGACTAAACTCTGGAGTAAGCCATTAAAAACCTTATGAAGTATCATTTCATCAATAACACAAATTCACCGTGGAGATAAAGAAAAGTACTCTTGCCCAACAACACTCCACTGTCATCTGACCGAATGTTTAGATATATGTAAAAAGAAAAAAAAAGTATGTATCAGTCAAAACTGGTGATCAGCAACGTAGGAGATAAAACCCTAAAATGGAGCTGGTATATCAGGTATTATAGATCAATGATGCTAACTACTAAAATCATCTTACTCCTCTTCTGATTGAAATTTGGCCTCAAATGGAAATTGGCCTGTAGAGAGAATTATTGACAAGTACACGTTATATTTTTATAACCAATCAATAAATTGGCGTTCTGGTCACACACTTTAGTGTCCATGCTTAAAATGGGTCTTTACCTGAGAGATCTTAAATCAAGTGTGAGTCTGCCAGGCTGAAGTCTGGCCCTGGATAGAGAGGAGCAGTCAATCACGGGTGGTGCACCCTGGTAGCCATGTCAGGCTGACCAGCAGGCATTCCCCATGAGACGCCTGGCTTTAGGGTAACTTCTCTTTCCAGTCAGCAATTTGCATTAATCAATAATCAGGAGATATTTTGGAGGCACTCCACCAGTTATCCCTAGGGAGGAAATGATTTAAAAATGTGAGGTAGGAAATGGTTATTTCAAGGCTCAGAAGAAACTTTTTTCAAAACATTGGTTGATACTCCAAAGAACTGTCAGAATAGACTAGAAAATGTTGGAGAAATTGAACCCGCAACTTTTGATCCTTTCCTTTTATAAGTATAGTTGCTTTCACTATCAGTAGGAAGATGGGCTAACACAGCCAATGGAGTGCTTTTAATTAAATAAACAGACATTTTTATTTATTCTGACAAGCTGAAATAATGTATGAGATTAAAAAAAAAAAACATTCGGCAGTTCAGTCTTGTCTCTCTTTTTTGTGAAATTGAAAAGAAACAAAATAAGCACATTTGGATCTGGTGTAAAAGGGACTAAGGATATTTATCATAGACAGTTTAATATTAGTCTTCTGAGACCAAAGCTACTCTTTCCAAGTTCAGCAGAAATACACAAACAATTTGACAAATATTGAATTATGCTTCAAGGCAATTCTCATACTTTAATATAATCTGTTTTTTAAAAATGTATTTCCTTCTACTTTGAAATAAAAGTCCATCACCAAATACAATGAATTGCTTTTCATCTCAGTTTAGGGAAGAGCCCTGCTTTTATACCCACCTTTAGCAATTTTTCTCCTAAATGAGAGGAAAGGAAGCTTGAATGTTTCCAGAGCAATGTAAAAACCAGGCTGCCTGTAAAGTGATGTGGTCATGTCAGATACATTGCACGTACTACTGTCAAGTTAAGACAATGTATTTAAAGACATTAAATTAAATTATGACAACTATTTTGGAAATTTGATTTTTCATTTTATGGAATTTTGTGTAAACTGGAGAATATTTAAACATTTGAAAACATTGATCCAGTTTTTCTACACCTTGCACACTAGGATCACCTGGTTGGGAGAGGGGTAGAGGGCAGGGAGGGTTGATTGTAAAAATACCGATGCGCGGTTCCCACCCCTGAGATCCTGGCTCCCCAGTTGATTATAATCTGTCACCAAAGTTAAGAACCACTGCCCTAAGATAATAATTGTGGTAATGTAACCATTTGAACAGAAGTCCAAAATGCATTTAGGTTTAGGTTAGGTTGCCAGATAAAATAGAGGATGCTTAGTTAAGTTTGAATTTCAGATAAACAATAAAAACATTTTTAGTATTTGGAATATTGCATTAGACCCTGTATTTTTATTTGCTAAATCTGGTACCCCTAAGTTTTCTTTGCTTAAAACCTCTTTGGAACAAAGCTGTTTATCTACCATTGGAGTTATTTAGAAAAGACTTCTCTGGGTCAGATGACAGCAACGACAAAACTGGGTAAATGCGTTAGATGTTCTCCTCTCCTGGGGTCCTAAATCAGCTCATCTCCTCTCTATACTTTCCGAGTGTTCCTTCTGTTGTGTCCTGCTTCTAATGACACCAGTTCTTCTTGGGTTCCCCAGACCCAATCCCAACACGGGTTGGGGGAACCCCACACAAAACACTCAATTCTGACACTGTCTACCTGGAGACAGCATCAGATCCCACAGGTTAAGGGTTTAGTTCTACAGGACTGTGTCCCACGTACGCCCCACGAATGCCAGTGGCAAGAAAGTCCCAGGCTGGTAACGTGCTTGTGACCCACCGGCTCCAGATTGGAGGTTCTGGCGACCTCCTCCTTAGATCCTTTTAATTTGCTAGAATGGCTCGCAGAACTCAGGGAAACAGTTTGCCAGTGTATTAAAAGATACAATAAAGGACATAAATCAGCAGCAAGATGAGGAGATGCATAGAGCAGAGTATATGGGGAAGGGGCACGGAGCTTCCATGCCTTCTCTTAGCTCCCTCTTTCCTCTCCCCAGACGCAAGCCCCTCCAGCTCTTAAAGGTAACCATAATAGTGACTTTTAAAATAATCACTTTTCTGTTTTTCCACTTAGTTTCCCCACCCAAGTATGTATCCATAAACATTATAATTTGCTTATTTTTGAACTTTAAATGGAATCACGTAGCATAAAGATTTTATGTCTAGATTCTTTCCCTGAGTATTTGGTTGTTGTGACTCATTAGTGTTCATCCATGTAGCAGATTATTTACTTGAAATATCACAATTTATTTATTCTACTGTTAATGGACATTTGTTTCTTTCTATTTTAGGGCATAATGCTTCTGTGAACGTTCTGTTGTTTTTTTTTTTTTTTAAGATTTATTTATTCATTTGAGAGAGAGAGAGAGATCACAAGCGGGAAGGGCAGAACGAGAGGGAGAGAGAATCTCAAGCAGACTCCATGCAGAGCGCAGAGCCGATGCAGGGCTCAATCCCATGAGCCTGATATGAGGACCTGAGCCAAAACCAAGAGTTGGACACTTAACTGACTGCGCCACCCAGGTGCCCCTGAACATTCTTATACATTTCTCCAGGGACATGACTGCAAACATTTCTTCGTGATATATACCTGTGAGTGGCATTACTGCATCATAAGACTTGCATATGTACAACTTCATTTTGAAATAATTTTAAACTGTTAGAAAAGTTCTAAAAATGGGGCCCCTCCTGGCTGGATGTGGAGTCTGCTTAAGATTCTCTCTCCCTCTCCCTCTGCCCCTCCCCACCCTCAAAAAAAAAAAAAAAAAAGAAAGGTTGTAAAAATGGTACAGAGAGTTCCCATATACCATTCACTAAGATTTTCCTAATTATAACATTTTACATAATCATAGTACTGTTATCAAAACCAGGAAATTAATATTTATATAATACTATACACTAACCACACACCCTATTTGAATTTTGCCAATTTTCCTCCTTTCAACACTTTTGTATCCTTATGTTTTAGATGTGCCCCTTGTAAAAAGCATATGGTTTGATTTTTAAAAATCCAGTCTCACAATCTGTCTTTTAACTTGAGTATTTAATCCATTTACATTAAATATAATTCCTAATAGATAAGGGGCTTATCTGTGTAAATCATTATAAACTACCATTTTATTTTGTGCTTTGTGTTTATTTCTTCTGTTTCTTTTTCTCTACATTTGGGTCTTCTTTTGAGTTGATTGGGTCATTTTTATCATTTCAGTTTCCCCCATTCCTTTTACCTAGAAATTACAATACAAATATTTAACTTACTGAAACCTAAAGTTAATCAATATATTTATCTACAAGGACCTACAACACTTTTAAATCCATTGACTTCTTGTGCCCAAATAACATTTCATTATTTTAATAGATTTTAAGTCTAAGTTGTTTTTCATTCCACTAAACACTATCATTTTTGTTTGAAACATGCAATACTTGTTCACACTTACTCATACCATTTAGTTCTTCCTCTGCCCTTTATTTCCTTTTGCCTATCGGACTCTTCCTTTCAAATCACTTTCCTTCAGTCCGGATTATATCTTCTGCAATTTCTTTTTTTGGGATTTTTCAGTGGTGGTAAACTCTCTCCATTTTTTGTTTAAAAATGTTTACTGGATGTAGGATTTTAGATTAGTGATTTTCTTTCAACATATTAAATATATTTCACTATCTACTGGCTTTCATCATTTGCTGTCAATCTAACCAAAGATTTTTGAATATAGGGTCTTTTTTTTTTCTTCTGGCTTTTTAAAAAATCTTAAGTTTTTGTTTTCTGCAGTGACACCTGGAGATTTATCTTGAGTGTTTTGGGTACTTCTGGAAAATTGGCAGCCATTATCTATGCCACATCTCTTTTTCTCTCTTTAATTGGAACTGTTATTAGATGTGTGGTAGACTTTATTACTCTAAGCTCCATGTTACGTAAGCTCTTGTTCATACTTAACACCTCTTTGTATCTCTGCATTCAGAATAATTTCTTCTTACCTGTCTTCAAATGCACTAATTCTTTTTTCAACTATTTCTTAATAGAAATTCTGTTAAATCTCCAGTTGAGTGTTTTATTTTAATTATTTTTTATTTCTACAAGTTCTGTTTCGTTCTCTTGCAAATGTGTTAGCTTCTATTTTATAGTTTTCTATTCTCTGAAGATGTTTTAAACTTGTTTTTCATTTTTAAAAAACATAGTAAGCATAGTAATTGTATTATCTGTCCCTGAAAAAATCAAATAGCTAAATTCAACGTTTGTTTTTTGTTTCTGCAGTTTGTTGTTTCTGTTGGGTTTTGTTCTTGGTGATCTCCTTGTGGCACTCTGTTACTTTTGACTGTGAACTGCTTTTTGTTTTCCCTTGGAAAATTATTTTTAAGGATTCCTACAGGCTGAAAGTGAAGATATTTTTGTCTCTGCCTGGTACATAAGAATACTACCAGTTCAGAAACAGCTTAAACTCATGCCTTAACGGTTTTGGACGCACTTTGGTGATGTAACTATGGTATGCAAGCTCCTGAAGCATTCATCTGGTTAAAACTTCTCAAGGATGGTTTTCATTTCCCATCCCTGCTCTGCTTAGAGCTAAGAAAACCTTCCTTGCAGAAGTGGGGTAGGTTAACTTTTGGCTCATTCTTAGACTGAGGGAATATCCCTTGAGTATCTTGGCTTTATTCAGGAAGGGTTTCCTTTTAGATCTTCACCGTAGGTAAACACTGGGCTTTGATGTCCATTGTCCACACTCTGCAAGGCCACTAAAGTGAAAGTTTGCCTAGTTTAGCAAAGGCTCTTAGGGCAAAGTAACTGAAGTGCTCTGCTAACATCTCTGCTTTTTCTCCTCTATTTAGATTTTGGCCTGGAAATTCCTTACTGTCTCAGCAGATCTGTGTTGCTTTTATGAACTGGTTTTTTGTGTATTCATTATTTTAAGTTGTTCTTCCCACCAGGTGTGAGGGTTGGCCTGAATAATGTAGCCTGCCATATGATTGGAAAGGTAGGTCTTATTTTATAATTTAAAAAACTATATTCAACCTGTGTTTCTATCCCCTTCCTCATTTTAATGTATTAGAGTGTGTATCTGTGTGTGTGTGTGTTTTAATTAGAAATTTCCAGGGCATTTCTGTAGTACTTTTCCTCCAATGACACAACTCTTGGTCCACTTATACCTCTAATAGTTTTTATTTCACAGTTCTTTAATTTCTGTTTTTACTTTTATTTGCTTTCTTATGATTTTTTTTTAAAAAATTCTAACTAAAAAAAGTTCTAACTTATTGAGTTGAATACTTCATTTACCTTTTTTTTTTTTTATGGCTTAAAATAGGAGGTTTATTCTTTCATAGATCTGGAAACAAGGAATCCAAAATCAAGGTGATGGTCGAGCCGTACTCCCTCTGAGGTCTCAGGGAGAATCTTTCCTTGTCTGAATACTTCATTTACCTTTAAGTTTTCTTTTTTAAGTAATGAAAATATTTAAATAATAAATGTGTTTCTGACTTCAACTTTGGATACATCCATTAGTTCTATTATTTCACATGTGCCTTTTCTTAAGGGTTGTAGTTTTGATTTCCTTTTTACCCTAAGAGTTATTTGGAATCATTTCCCTCCTCCATTTTCAAACGGTTCCCTTTCCCCCCTCTTGTTTTTCATTTATTATTGATTTTTATTGTATTTTATTATTTTTAGAGAGTGTAGCCTGTTTAGTTTCAGATTTTAAAAAAATTACTGTTTTTGTGGCCTAATATATTTATCAATTTTAACATATATTTTACAGGCACTTGTCAAAAAAAGAATCATATGTAGGGTCTAATATTCAAGATATTCATAAACATAGATATTAATCTTTACAATTGTAGTCATATGAGGGATTTTTTTCCCCTAGTTGGTTTGTCAGGCCATGAATTCAAATGACATAGGTACAAAATAAACAGCTTTCTTAGGGGTTACGTGTTTAAGCCTATTTTCTTTTAAATTTGAAGACGTTTCCCTTTACATTACTTTAGAATGCTTAATATTTTCACTAACTAATGATACTTGAAAGAGTAAAGCACATGGTTAGTGTCTGTAAAAAGATTATTTTCTCTCCCTCTCAAATTTTTACTTCCTGTACCACTTTCAACACTGAATACATCAACTCCATCGTCTTTCTGTGCTTTGTTTCTCCAGTAAACAACATCATGACTGTGTTTCTTCTTTATGCTTTGGACTGTCACTGTGTCAATTTTTTCCTAATTAACCACTTACACAGAAAAAAAAAATGAGCAAGAATATAATCTGTAAATAGTATTTCGACTTCAGAAAGTCTTTTTTTTACTTTTTTAAAAATCAGCATATTGATGATTTATTATTTTTTTTGTAAAATGGCTCCTCATAGAAATTTTGAAAACAGCACCTGCAATATAAAGAAGCAGAAAAGAAAGTTGCATATAATCCCATCACTCCAAGGCAACCACTGTTAACTGCTCTTGCTTGTTTCCTTCTATTTTTTCCAGAACTATTTTTACATAATTGAGATCAATGTTGTATTCTGAATTTTCCACTATGATATATATTTTCCATTATTAAAAACTATCCATCAGACTTGTTTAAATGTCCTGATAACATTTCATTATTTACTTAATGTTCCTTTAATGTTATAATTTTTAATATCTCTATATTAATAATGTTTCAATGGATTTCTTTTCTTCTTCTGTTTTTCTTAAGCGATACAGTTGGACTTGGATCTTTCGGCTGCATCGGAAGCACCTGAAGGGCCCCCATGCCCAGAGTTTCTGATTCAGTCTGGGATGGGGCCAAAGAATTTGCATTTATAACAACTTCAGGTGATGCAGATTGTCCAGGGATCACATTTTGAGTCACTGGAATAGCTGTAATGAACAGAATGCATACAGATTTGCTTCAATAAATTTCTGAAAAACAATGCTTCTTCCTTCCACAGTAAGTTCTATCTTTGATATTGCAGGGGGAAAAAATAGTAATACTTATCTTGGTTAGAAAAAGAAATAGTAATGTCTATTAAAAGGTTCTCTAAAATTCTTACTCACTGGCTTTTGCTACCACATTTGCACTTACTGTGGAATCTTACTTATTCATTTGACCCTGGAGCTACATCACTCTACAGCTGGTCTCTTTTTTTCTTTCTTCTTCTTCTTCTTTTTTTTTTGTAAGTCACCTGCTCTCATTTAGTTCATTTCCTTTGGTGTTTTCCTTCCTGTGGGAAGTCTGACATCTGTCCCACATACTTCTTTATGAATACAAAGGCTCATCTTTTATCTTTTTATTTTTAGCTTTTATGAGTCATTTATTCTTACCCTTTTTATAATTATGATCTTTTCATTCCTTATGTTTTAAAAAGATATTCTAGAGTGTAATCCTTTGTGGCCACTTTTTTTTAAATCTTATTTTTTTAAAACACCTTTAATTATTTTCTGTTTACATTTATGTTTAAGTCTGAGCCTAACGTCAAATACTATCAGTACGAGGCTTCTCACTTCATCGGCGCCATCATGTGGTGAAACTGTGTATCACATTGGAAAACCTGCCACATAGAGGAAGACAAGGTACCATTATAGTACGTTTTAGAGAGAGAGAGTCCTGAAATTGGGAGATTCATAAATAGTTGGGGGATCTGAAACAGTAGTCCTATTACTTTAGTTAATGCACAGCAAAATGAGAGCTAGTAAACACCAATGATGAATTATGTGGACACTGTAGTCAGTTACAAGAGCTCAAACCCAGGCTTTCCTACTCATTATGATACGACCTTGGGCACTTTGGTTAATCTCCTTGAGTCTCAGTTTCCTCATAAGTATGGGGATACCAGTAGGGTATCTATCTCACAGGAATGTTGAGAGGAAAAATTACTTTTATGATAATAGCACAATGGCCATCAAATAGCTCAATAATATCAGTTATGATCGACTGTTAAAAAACCATCACATTTGGTTTTTTCTTTATGTTCAAATCTAAAATAGAATGAGTATCAGAAAAGAAGACTTCCCCTGAGATTTTAGAAAATTATGCCAAAATGGTATAACATTATACCAAATGGTATAATTATCTTTAGAATGACCAGAAGTAGCTTGAAGTTAAAAACTGCAAAAGGTAGATACTGAAAGAACATTCAAATAATAGTGCCTTTTTAGAGAAAAGGAAGGAAACTTCTGTTAAGAAAGGTCTTCTAAACTATTCTGACAAAGTGAAATTTGAAAATTATCTGGTTAAATTAACCATAATTGACAGTCAAAATAAATAATTTGGGGGGTAACCTAAAATTCTTTTCAAGGGTGGAAAAAACCTTTTAATATTAAACATGATTTATAGTCCCAAATCCTTCTGAAGGTCTATTAAAGAGAAATGTATACTTTTATAAATTCTTGAAAGAGATACATTTGGATGGCTCCAGATGCTGGGAATTTTTCTATTAGAAAATGAATTTTAATTATTTCCAGAAAAATAGGATGAAAGATATTTAAGATCAGTGAGAATAAAGCATGTGGGGGATCCCCCCCCTTTTCAAACCATGCACATCCTTAGATAGAATGGATAGTCTTGCCAGGACCAGTCTTATATTCAGTTTCCAAAGTGTAGTTTCCCCAGAGAGTTAGCATTGTTCAATGAATTTTGTTATGCCATTATGCAAATGTAGTCTATGTTCATTATCTTTCACTTATTAAATTCATCAAAAGCTGTTCTGGAACAGATTTCCTGTTTTGTCAACTACACCCACAGTCTTGTTCCCAGATTCTTCATCAGTATTTTCAGGCTGTGAGAGAAAGAAAGCAAGGAATGGGAATGATCTCATGAATTTTAAATATGCTGAAACTCTGTCCCAGAGCAAGATTCAAGTACATAACAGCCGTCTACAGTTGCTCGCAGTATACCCCAATCTCAGGGCAGTGCCAGCTTAGCGCAGTTGGTTAGAATGTGATCAATTGATCAATCAATCAATTCCTATGTGATTCAACTGGCTGTGGAGAGAAGAAACGTATCTTCGGTATCAACCTGAACTTCTCTGGCCAGCAGTTTAGAAAATCTATGCCTTTGATTACTGAGATTTGGGGATTTTCCAGAAACTTATTATTGACGTCTATTTTAATTTTATTGTGGTCAGAAAACATATTTTGCATGATTTCAATCCTTACAAATCAGTCGAGCCTGTTTTATAGCCCAGAATATGGTCTTTCTTGGTATATGTTCTGTGTGCACAAATAGGGGAGAGAGAGAGATCATCCACACACATATTCATTTATTTAGGTCTTTCATTTCAGCAATGTTTCAGAGTAGTACAGTTCTTGCATGTCTTTCATTAAATTTATTCCTAGGTATTTATAATGCTATTTTAAATGTTACATTTAAAAATTTATTTTCTAATTGCTGCTCGCTAATATATAGAAATACTGATTTCTGTATTACTGATCTTTTATCCTGAGCTCACTAATTTCAATTATTCATTCTAGTAGATTTCAAAGATTTTCTAAATGGGCAGTTATTAATCTAAAGACAAGTAATTATAGTTTTTAAAAATAACTTTCTATGTAGACACCTGTGAATAGACAGTTTTATTCTTCCTTTCTAATCTTTATACCTTGTATAATTTTATTTTTGCCTATTGCAGTATCTAAGACCTCTGAGACGAAGTTGAATAGAAGTGGTGAAAGCAGACATTTTCAGCTTTTTCCTAATCCTAGGATTGAATATTTCACCATCAAGCATGATAGGAGCTATTGGTCTTTCATAGATACTCTTTATAAAATGAAGTCAGTTCTCTTTTATTTCTAGTTTTGTGAATGTTTTCCACATAAGCTGGCAATAAATTGTGTCAAAGGCTTTTTCTAAGTTTATTGAAATGATCATAACTTTTTTTCTCTTTTATTAATATGGTAAGCTACATTGTTTAACTTACTAAAATGTTGAGCAAACCTTGCATTCTAGGAAAAATCCCAGTTGGCCATTGTATTTTATCCTTTATTGCTAGGGTCAGTCTGCTAGTATTTTACATAGTATTTTTGCATTTGTATTCATGAGTGATTATTGGTCTGTGATCTTTTTCTTCTAATGTCTTTGTCAGATATTTCTATGATGGTTATGTTGTTATTATAAAATTAGTGGGATAGTAGTCTCTCCTCCTCTGTTTTCTCCAAGATTTTATATAAGATTGACAGTATGTATTCTTTAAATGTTAATAAAATTAAGCAGTGAAAGCATCGGGGCCTGAGGTTTTCTTTGCAAAGCGTTCTTTAATTATGAATTCAAGTTCTGTAATAGATGTACAACTACTAAGATTTTCTACTTCTTCTTTAGTCAGTTTTGGTTAAGTTTTGTTTTCCAAAGAATTTATTCATTTCTTCTAAGTTATCAAATTTTATTAAATTTGTAATAGTCTCCTTCTGTGGTTTTAATTAGAATTTTTCAGCCTCAGTACTATTGATATTTGGGGCCAGAAAATTGCCATGGGGAACTCTCCTATGCAAAGCAGTGTCCCTGGCTTCTACACACTAGACGCTGGTAGCAGTCTCCCCAGGTGCGATGACCAAAAATGTCTCTAGACATTGTCAAATGTTCCTTGGGGACAAAACCCCTCCAGTTGAGAACCAGTGTTTTAATGTCTGTAAGATCTTTAGTGATCTTTCATTCCAGACACTGGTAATTTGTCTCTATTTTTAAATGAGCTCTGTTAAGAGATTTGTAGGGTGTACAAAAGTAGGCTCTGCCCCACATTTGGCCCATGGATCATTTTGCTGACCTTGACTTAGATCATTAATTAACTATTCTTTTTTAATAAAGGAATAAAAGAGCTATACATATTTCCTCTAAGAATACCGTATCTGTATCCCATAAATTTTGAAGGCTGTGTTGTGTTGATGAATATTAGCCAAATAATGGCAATGGAGAGTTATTATCTATGGAGAGAACATATGAGCATTATTGTTATTCCAACATAACTGCTTACAAATGGACTTTGGGTTCTGTGAGAGACAATGAATATTAATATAACTACATAATAAAATTTAGTTACATAAGTACATTCTCCCAAGTAGTTGACACACCGATATAAATTCCCACAATCTGGTAACAATAGTCTTTTTGCTCTTCTAGCTAAGAATAGCCACAGTCTGCAAAATTCAGAACGTTTATCAGGACAAGGAAATTATAACAATTTTACTGCACCTTATCGAATATTGATTTGCTGCCACCTGCTGGGAGGCAGAAATGAGTTTCTAGTGTCCTTAAAGGGAAAGAGTGATGACCCTAGAAGTTGTAAAACTTTGCCTATCCCATAAAATGAAACATAATATAGGTACCCTTGCGCCTGAAAGAAATCAATAATTTTATTTTTATTTTTTCAGAAATCAATAATTTTAGAATAAATTAACTGCAGGTGAAGAAAATATGGTCTGTGTATAAAATTTGGAGTGCATTCTTTTTCATCTAAGAGAAATTAGATGGGATATTTGCATTTACCATGAAATGATGTACAATAAAGTTCCTTAAAATGGTGAGCTTCTCAAGTACTGATTGTGTATTTGTGTAAAGGTAATTAACCTCTTGACTGGGGCTAATGGAGAAATTTAAGAGCTAAGGATCCACTACTGAATGAAGATTAGTAAAAAAATAATATTAAATCTAATAACGATGCTTGTGATGGTCATAATAATAGCCCCCACAAGGATAGCTGTGATTCCCAGTGCCCAGAGTGGACCCGTGAGCCCAGAGAGCAGAACCAAGAACCACAGATTATTCCTTGGCCTTGAAACTAATAGAGCCTGCCTGATTGGATTTTGAAATTGTCTGGGACTGGTGACTACTTTTTTCCTTCCACCTCTCCCTTTTTGAATGTGAATGGCTACAATTACTCTCCTGTGCCTCCCGTTCCCTTGCATTTTGGGAGCACACATCTCGTTTTCTCATTTCCCAGTCTATAAATGGAAAGGGATTTTGCCCCAGGATGGATTGTACTCAGAGCCTTACCTATAAATAATTTACATGAGGTTTGGGAATTTTGAAATTTAAATGAAATGCTGTGATATGTTGAGAACTGGGGGGATTGAGGGAGGGGGGTGAGATTTTGCATGTGAACAGACATGAATCTTTGGTGCTCGGAGGATGGACTGTGGTTAAGAAGAATGCCTCTCCCATAGATGTTCACACCCTAATTGCCAGAATCTGTGAATGTTATCCTATAAGGATAAAGGGATTTTGCAGATGTGATTAAGGTTAAGAACCTTGATGTGGACAGATTATCCTGGATTATCTGGGTTTGCCCAATTTAATCACAGGAAGCCTTAACAGCGGAGAATCTTTGACCAATGTTAGTGGCTCTGAAGAGAGAAAGGGGCCACAAGCTAAAGAATGTAAGTGGCCTCTAGAAGCAGGAAAGGCAAAGCAACAGAGCCTTCCCTAGAGAGAATTCTGTCCAGAAAGGAATGCAGTCAGCTGATATCTTGATTTTACCCCAGTGCGACCTGTGTTGGACTTCAGACTTACAGAATTATAAGATAATAAATCTGCATTCTTTTAAACCACTAAGTTTGTGGAATAGAAAACGAATACAAAAACA